AGTTTTTGTCAAATACTTTATAATATAGTATAGATACTATGGATTACTCTTTCGTTGTTTTGTTTCATACCACCCCCAACATGAGCTGATCTTCAGATGTTGGGGTTATATGATTTTTGGTCAGTAAGGATATGAACACGTAAAATTTGGATTTTTACAACTGATTTATTGATCATGATTATCTTTGAAAAAAATAATTTGAGATTAGATTGTAATTTGTATACCTAGGGTGAGAACTTGGATAGAGATATACCAATTAAACCATAGTATTGTTTTAACAATCACGGTCTAAATATATATCTTGGAAATTGTACGTTGAGATCAAGAGATGAGATATGCATTTTCAGGGATAAACTCGTTATAACTCGGAGAGAGTAACGAACAAAATTTTGATTCTGTATTTAGTGATTGATTAACTTGATAATTATTCGAATTGAAATACTCTATTTGAAACCTATTAGGATTCCAACTACCAATTGTTTGTCTCATTCAAAGTTTATAGCTTTTGTTTCTCTAAATTTGTACTTAATAAAATTCCCCTAACTTATATTTAAATAAAAGTGATATAAGAATTAAAAAAAAAGGCCTAAAAATGCATGTGGCTTAATAGTTTTTTCTAATAGTTATTAGAGTGTATTTGATACACCGGACAAGACAGGACAGAACAAGACAAAGATCTATGTCCCATGTTTGGCATTACTTTTATGTGGAACATACAGAAATAGAGTAGAACAAAGTGGAAGATGCATGTTCCACCCCTACCCCATGGAACAGGGTGGAACAAGGTAGAACATATTTATATTTTACCAATATAATCTCAAAATAAAATTTAATTATTTTCTAAAACATCAAATATGTCTCATTTTTACATTTTATTCATTCTTTAAATTTTATACATAACATAGAAATCACATTTGGAAAGGGTGGACAATTAGCTAGAGTAGCGGGTGTTGTAGCGAAAACTGATTGCGAAAAAAGGGAAATCGGACACATTAAAATTACCTTCTAGAGAGGTCTGTTTGATATCCAAAAACTGCTCAGTAACAAACGGACAAGTAGGGAATGTTTGGGTGAACCAGAAAAGTATGGGTAGAGTCGGATCTAATCGTTGACTAGGTACGCGCTCTATAGTAAGAGGAGTAGTTGTGAACCCTGTAGACCATTCATATGTGGGTGGTGAAGGAATGGCCTTAATTGGTAGAAAAAAACTCATAACCCCTTGGGGGTGATCCTGCACTTGGAAAAAAAAGTTTATTGTATTTTATGTTTCTTAAACTTTCATTATACTGTCTTCAAAATATTATTTTTATACAATTTTCATATTTTTATTAATTTATGTAATTTATTATATATTAATAATAGAAAAACAAGGTAGAAAAGAGATAAAAATAAAAACTGAAAACTACATAAACTTTTTATTTAGTGTCATTTTAATTGTTTTGACGAAAACTTTCTAATGATATATTTTGTTATAAAAAATAATTATTTCATTATAATTTAATAAATTACATAAATTAATTAAAATAAACAACTCATCAGGGGTAAATTGATCATTTTACTTATTGTGTTATGTCCAATTTTATCTTACCAAACATTGAACAATTGTTTTATTCTGTCTTGTCTAGACACCAAACACACCTTTTACGGAAGAGATCGAATCCGAACGTTATTCCAAATCACAATTACGATCTTACATTATCGAAACTGTAAGGACGAAAAGTGTTGTAACCAAGAATCCAGATACCAAAATTGTAATTTAATCAGGAATATTCCATTTATTATATACGGAATTTAAAAAATGCGATGAGGAAATTGGAGGCAATGAAATAGATGGATGGAAAAGGTCAACCCGATTAAGCCATTGGATTAAGTCGTATATGAGTCTGAGCCACTTGGCCTTCACCGTTGGGGGTTGGGGACTTTTGAGGGATATATACGTGGATGAGAAACAACTTCAAAAGTCAAAGCCTGAAATCAACGGCTGCTTTCCTCCTGCTTCCCATCAATTAAGCTAGACGTCTATCACATTAATACGTTCAATCTATTTATATTAAGATATTGTTTGAGATTGCTTATAAAAATAACTTATTGATTTATTCTGGTGTGACATCGGTAATAAACATTGTTGAGTGTTTGGATAAACAACTTATATTTATGTCAAACCGGTAATAAGAAGTTTTTTAAGAAGTTCAACTCTTCTGACTTATAATAGGTTGATAAGTGCTTTTGTAGAAAAGTTTAAGTTGTTTCAAATAAACAATCTCAAACACCTCCTAAATCTGGTGAAAATCGATAAAAAGTTAAATATTTTTATGTATATTAATTGAAAAAGAAGCCCGATAGTTTAAGTACATGACCGAAAAACCGACTTTTTGATGGGTATAACAAAAAAGTTAAAACGAACTCGACTTAATAATGATTGGGTAAGGTGTAAGATTTTATATCGATTGGGGAGGAGAACAAAAGTTGTTTTATAAGGGACGAAGTTGTCTGATATATTTTTAGTCGAATTCTGCTGTTTAGAGGGATCTTTTTAATTTCTTTGGTTGATATCAGTAGACTTTTCGGTTTTTGGTTGCTTATTGAGTATGTTTCGGTTTTTTGGTTGATGTTCCTTATAGCGAATGCATCTTTCATACCCAGAAAAATTTACTTGTGAAATTCAGTTGAGCTTATGCACATAACCCTACTCGGGAATGAATAGGTCAAGCCTCTGGACAAGCCGGCAAGGCTGGGTGGCAGAGTGGATCGAGTAATACACAAGTCTTCAATGTACAAATTAAGCTTTTAAGTAACTTTGTATGACTGTTTAATCAAATATCTGAAGTTTACTTTGGTTTTCAGCCAGTGATTTTTAGTACATTGGTCATTTTGTAATTATTGATATAACGTAAGTTGGTTTTCGTTTAAATGAACAATATTACATAGTTCGATGACCCTCTTTCATACTTTTATAATTGATATGTCTAACTGGAACTAATGGGTTGATTTGAATAGTCCAATATTCAACACGCCAAACAAACGTTACGTTTCTCTAATTAAAAAAAAACGTCTTTTTCTACATGTAGTTGCCGGTCTAATATGTTTTATGCGTAGACTGCTTATAATACAACTGTATCTTTTAGTCTTTTCCCAAAATTCTAATACTATACGTACACATTTGGTTCCAAAACCGTTATATAAATGATTTTTGCGTAACTGAAGAAGGTGTAATTATCTGGTAAATTTGAAGTATAAGATTATTAAGACGGGACAAAATTCGTTTCAATAAGCTTTTGATAGTTTCGTAAAATGAATTATTGGTTTTACGTGATTAGAACCCGTCAATCAATCAAAAATTGTGGCGAGTCAATGTTTTCTTTTCAGTTTCACATTACCAGATCGAGCCTTAATTTTGGATCGAATATTATATCTAACAAAACTAAAGATATAACACAAATACAACTTGAGAAATTACGTTCAAATTTCAACATGTATTCATTGAAGACTCGAGAAAATATACAATAATGTTATGGTATTTTTCATATTGAAAATTTATGTATGTTTGTAAATAAAAGACTTTAATTATAAGCAGTATATTTTTACAGATAATACTCGTGCGATGCATTAGGATGGACCGTTTTATCGTAAATCAAGAATGAAAAATTAATGTGACTTCTTATCTGAAAACACAAAATTTATAACCTCCAGGAGATGCAAAAATATCATGTTTTCCTGGTTCGAATCCAGACGTTGTCAAAGCTTTTGTGGTTATGGAGGTTCACCCTCGGCCATTCAAGGTCGCCCAGTCACTGCGTGTGAATAGATATGTTATACCCATGGTTACGCAGAAAAATAATACCTTCAGTTACACCCACTGTATTCGAAGACTAAACCCACACCTGTATACTTTTTATAACAAAAGATGAAAAAAAAATCTAGTATTTAAAAGTGCATTTAATTGAGATGCTTCGAAATCAAATACTTGAAATCTTTTATAAAATAAAGTTCACCGTATCTATATCTGATATGATTTCAGCCCAAAAAAAATCTATGTTTCATTCAATTGGCATCCAAATAGTTGTTGAGTAGCCGTATTAAGTCAGCAACCATTAACGTGATTTTTGATGTATTTTATGCTTTCATATTTTTTTAATTACATACATAGACTTTTTTTGCACAAGACTTCTACATTTTCTTTTATGACATATATATATATATATATAGAGAGAGAGAGAGAGTTTGTTTCAAATGCAACTCATCGCATTTGTACAATCAATACAACTTAATAAATTGAAATATTTATGAAAATGATGAAAGTTTATTTATTAAGATTTAAATATTTATGGAAGATGAATAATGTTATTAATTATGATCAA